ACAGGGGGCAGTTGGGGGTGATCAGGCTGGCAGGGGGCATCTGGGGGCAAGCAGTCCTGTGGCAGGGAGCAGTTCGGGGCGAGTAGGCCAGCATGCAGAGTGGTTAGGGGCAATCAGGCAGGAAGGTAGGCAGGTGAGCGGTTAGGAGCCAGCAGTCCCGGATTGAGAGAGGGATGTCCAACTGTCAGTTTAGGCCTGATCCCTGTAAACTGGCAGTAGGATATTCTTCCAGGGGTTCCAGATTGGAGAGGGTGCAGGCCAGGCTGGGGGACCTCCCACCCCAGTGCACGAATTTCGTGCACCAGGCCACTAGTATCTATATATTCCACTAGAAACAAAATTTAACTTGGTGGACCCCAAAATTAAAAATACCTAGATGGACTTCCTAATCTCTTGAACTGTTGTCTTGAGAAACCTACTAATTTTAGACCTACTAGAAAGTATTATGCTGAATATTTGCAGTGTTAGAAATGATAGTTAACTTTTAATTCTATAAAAATGAGACACTATCTAAATTATGACAAATCCCACATGCATGGGAATAGATATACAGCTACATATACATACATATTTTTAATTTTTAATTTGTCAATTACAGTTTACATTCAATTATATATTAATTTCAGGAGGTGTACATATTTATTTTAATCCATTTTCATACACTCTGATAATCACAGAAACTGAATCTGAGTTATGACAAATGTCAAGTTAGATCATTAGTATTAATGAGGTATTGAGTTCTGTATGCGTGCATCAATACCTTCATTTATAACCCACCTACACAGATACATAAGCAGGGCCCACTTGTCACCACAATGTGTTTTTGGTTTAGTGTTGTAAATGGTATAATCATAAAGTGGATTCTGTTTTTCCAAGATTACAACTGGGGTTTGCTCCTGCCAAAGGACTCATCTTCAAATAAATCATCACTACAATAAACAATATGTCATAAAAGAAAAAATACCTCAAAATAAACCTCTTCAAAAATTAAAATAATGGAGATTCCGAGCAAGATGGCGGCATAGGTAAACACCGGAGACTGTTGCCGCAAACAACCACTTCAAAAATACAACTAAAAGACGGAACGGACATCACCCAGAACCACAGGAAGGCTGGCTGAGGAGAGACTCTTCAACTAGAAGGAAAAATAACAGCACACCGAGGCTCAGAGGAGGCGCAGTGTGGAAAAAACTCAGGTGCGGAGGTGCGCGCGCAAAGCGGGCTGGTGGCTGAGAGCGCGGTTGTCGTTTTCGGTCAGGGGGGAGTCTCAGACTCTGAGCTCCAGATACGGGCGAATCGCTGGGGACTCGGACCCAAACGGGAGAAGCGGGAGTGTCTGGCATCAGTTGGAAGGCAGCTTTCCCTCCGAGGTTTGCAGCGGTTCCGGGGGTTCTGAGAAGCAGAGCCTCTGGGAACAGGACTGAGGGCACCATAACGGCTCCCTCCGCCCGCCCTGTTGAGCCCGCCCCGCCCAAGCCCTGCGCAGAGCCATTTGCCGGATCGCCGCAGGCAAAGGCTAGATTAGCGCCCCCCCAGAGGACAGAAGTTTTCCCACTGCAGCAGACACAGCTGATTCTCACAGCCAGTCGGCCTGGTGGTCAAATCCCTCTAGTATTAACTACAACAATCAAGGCTCAACTAGAACAAGACTGCGCACAAAGACCACTAGGGGGTGCACCAAGAAAGCATAAAAAATGCGGAGACAAAAAAACATGACAGAAATGGAGGATATAGAGCTAAAAATCGCAATTTTGAGGGCTTGCAAAAATGTGCTAGAAGCTGTCAATAAACTTGAGGAGAGAGTCACGAAAACTAATGAGACCCTCGATGCTATGATAAAGAACCAACTAGAAATTAAGCATACACGGACTGAAATAAAGAATATTATACAGACACCCAATAGCAGACCAGAGGAGCGCAAGAATCAAGCCAAAGATTTGAAATGCGAAGAAGCAAAAAACACCCAACCGGAAAAGCAAAATGAAAAAAGAATCCGAAAATACGAAGATAGTGTAAGGAGCCTCTGGGACAGCTTCAAGCGTACAAACATCAGAATAATTGGGGTGCCAGAAGATGAGAGACAGCAAGATATTGAAAACCTATTTGAAGAAATAATGGCAGAAAACTTCCCCCACCTGGTGAAAGAAATGGACTTACAGGTCCAAGAAGCGCAGAGAACCCCAAACAAAAGGAATCCAAAGAGGACCACACCAAGACACATCATAATTAAAATGCCAAGAGCAAAAGACAAAGAGAGAATCTTAAAAGCAGCAAGAGAAAGAGACTCAATTACCTACAAGGGAATACCCATACGACTGTCAGCTGATTTCTCAACAGAAACTTTGCAGGCCAGAAGGGAATGGCAAGAAATATTCAAAGTGCTGAATACCAAGAACCTACAACCAAGAATACTTTATCCAGCAAAGCTATCATTCAGAATTGAAGGTCAGATAAAGAGCTTCACAGATAAGGAAAAGCTAAAGGAGTTCATCACCACTAAACCAGTATTATACGAAATGCTGAAAGGTATCCTTTAAGAAGAGGAAGAAGAAAAAGGTAAAGATACAAATTGTGAACAACAAACATGCATCTATCAACAAGTGAATCTAAGAACCAAGTGAATAAATAATCTGATGTACAGAATGAACTGGTGATTATAATGAATCAGGGACATAGAAAGGGAATGGACTGACTATTCTTGGGGGGGAAAGGGAAATGGGAGATGCAGGAAGAGACTGGACAAAAATCGTGCACCTATGGATGAGGACAGTGGGTGGGGAGTGAGGGCGGAGGGTGGGGCGGGAACTGGGAGGAGGGGAGTTATGGGGGGGAAAAAAAGAGGAACAAATGTAATCTGAACAATAAAGATTTAATAAAAAAAAAAAGAGGGGCTCAGGCATATCCTGTCCTTCTCTTTGTCCACACTCCCTCCCTTGATACCTAGTCTCAAAGCTTTGAATATGCCAATGATACCCACATTTATATTTCCAGCCTAGATTTCTCCTTTGAACTCCAGACTCTATATCCAACTGCCTACTTGACTTCTGTGCTTGGATATCTAAAGGATATTTCAAATTCATGTTCAAAACTGTACTTCTAGATTCTCTCCATTCCAGCCCTTGCCCAACACATCAAGTCCCCAAACCTATTTTACCCACAGTCTTCAGTTATTGACAACTCCATCCTTTCATGTTTTCAGACCCAAAATTGTGGGAATTTTCTTAATTCCTCTCTTTCATATTCCACACTCAAGGCATTGGCAAATCCTATTGACTCTTCAAAATATATAAAAAAAATTGACCACTTCTAATGACCTTCACAGCTACCTTCCTGGTTCAAGTCATCATCATCTCTATTTTTTTAATTTAAATTCTTTATTGTTTAAAGTATTACA